GCATGTGGAAGTTTCTTATGCGTTGAATGTGAAGCATTTACGAAAGAAGGCTGTCTTGTGGAGAGGCAAATCGAATATCTGTTCTGTGAAAGTAATTCCTAGATATCAGTTTATCCTTTAAAAATGGAGGAATGGCTGTGAGTAAAAGCTTATGGTTATAAGTGACTAAGTGTATCTCATATAGTTCTTTTACTCTCAGCCATTTTCTGATAGTGTTATTAACTTTTGTAACTTGCATCCTTAAGACAAATAATTTTTTGACCAGTCTGATACACTTTCTGTATGCCTTCAATTTACCTAACAAAATATCCCTATCAGGTGTTTCAACTGCCCTCTTCAAATCCAGGGATACTGCTATGACAATTTCTTCTCAGTCATAGATTCATAACCATAGATTCTTCTTCAATTCTTAGTAGCCAACTGAAAAGCCCTATCTGTGGATTATTTTCTGGGATATCTTGCTTCTCTTTCCACTAAGATTGCTTACTTCTATTAGCTGCCTCAAATAGTTATGTTCTAAGAACCTCAATACGTCTTGACTTCGGTATTGAGTCGATTTGCACTTTTGCGTATATTTTCATTACATATGTTTATATTTTCTTTTCTTCTTGATTTTTACTTATCGAAAATTCCAGCAATTTGTCTTTCTTCCCGTCGATTGTTTTTCTTCGGTTTCGTAATAAATTTGGCATACGTTTTTTATTGCTTGAACTGTTCTGAAATTGTAATTGTGTTCTGTAGGACAATTTGATTGTTTGTTTGTGTCTTTGTAAAAATACCATTGGAGCCAACCACTAAACATCAGATTAAAGTGAGAGCACTGTATCAAAAAAGGAGGCCATAACAGTACACTAGATGTAAGTAGTATTATTGGCGATAGAGGAAATCCTCAGGGCTATCGCTCCGTAATAAAATTATATGATCTATGACCAGATCTTAAAAACCTGTGTAGCATTATGATTGTCAACCACGAGGCTGCTTCTAGAAATCATCGAAATTATTCAAACATTCCAAAATAAAGATATAAGAAACAGATCAACTAAAATTTAAATTGAAATCTCTTATTTATTCTGTCGACCTCAAACAAATATGAAACAAGTCATAATCAAATTAGGAAACGACAAAAAGCGAATAAGAAAAACCAGGGACATAAACTAAATTTATAATGAATATATACATATATAAAGTTAGCTAAATAAGCACAGAATCTCACATGTATATGACTAAAAATAGGTAATGTATATAGGTTTTGATGAGATAAAATTGAAAAAAAAAACAAAATAGGTGTGGAAGCACATATATATATACGAGTATATATATATATAGCTTCCGCCTTTTGTTGGGTACTTCGACAAAATTTAAGCAAAGAGGACTCTTTATACTTTTTTAATTCTCTCTAGCTTTCAATGGACTTTGCCATCATCATCAGGAGCTGCAATTACATTGATAACAGTAGCAACAATAGTGTAAAATGAATTTAAATTGACTTAACTTACAGTAGTATGTGAGGATGTTCCTAATTGTTGTTACGTTCAGGATATATTGTCTATCCAGCTTTCACCATGTTACTGGGTGTTTCCCTCATCCTGAACGTAAACAGCAATTAGCAACATCCTCACATACTACTGTAATTTAAGTCAATTTAAATTCATTTTACACTATTGTTGCTACTGTTATCAATGTAATTGCAGCTTCTGATGATGATGGCAAAGTCCATTGAAAGCTAGAGAGAATTAAAAAAAGTATAAAGGGTCCTTTTTGCTTAAATTTTGTCGAAGTACCCAACAAAAGGCGGAAGCTGTAATTTTTCACCTAACTGGTCTAGACGACAATGACCACGTCTCAATATATATATATATATATACTAAAAATTGACGAATAACTAAAAAAGTGGGAATTTACAAGATGAGATAATATCAAATTAAAATACATACCAACACACGAGCGGACAAACTCACGTATATATGCGTAAATAAAATGTCACATTGTATGTTCATAATAAGGATATCTATCCTGATTTGAATATTCCTCTGGATATCGACGAGATTACGAAATTAGCGTCCAGGCACAAAGAAAAGCTGCATCAACACAGTTCACACAATTTGATCCGAAAATTCAACGAAGTTGCGCTACTATGTAGCATTGTATATGCTGTCAGGGGCTTTCGCTTTTTCTCTTTTCCAACCCGAACTTTTCTGCAGATGGACGTGACTGCGCGTTCTTATTAATTTTCTGACGCATTACGTTACGGTGCGGCGCGGTGATGCAGCATGCCCTGTTAATCAAAAGGAAGTCTTCAAAGCGGGTTTGTTCGTTTACCAAGACATTTTTTTTTAATGTTTGGAAATCTTGAGAGTGACAGTAGCTTCGGAAATTTGCAGGACTGGAAGTATTATTAATTTCGGACAATTTCTAAATATACATACTCGCCTTGATCAACACTTCTATTTTATTTACCTGTCTTTCAAGTGGCACTTCATTTGTATTTCCTTTTCATTTCCAGATTGATATTTAGTATGTTTCTACAATTGCCTGAAAGGTCCCTAACATGCTAAACCAGCATAGGCCAGGACTGATGTAGGCAATTCTACTCCCAAAAGGACGTTTTGAATGTACCTGATGCGTCACACCTGTTCATTTTTCCAAAAACGCCAATAGCACTCCAAAAAACGCAGGATCCCATCCAGGACTCTTGTCGTAACACACTGGTTAATTGTAATAAAATACAATCTTTGACTAAAACGTTACAATTGCATTATTTGCGGATCTGAAACGCGAGAAATATCACTTCGACATTTAAAGTGAAAAATGTTATTTGTCCAGTGCCAAATAATATGACAACAGTTTAGCCTACTATAGTCAACGCCAAACAAAGTGGCGTGCACGTCATCACGATAAAAATTCCCCGACCTAATGCCTAGGTTTCTATCACAAACAATTGCTCTATTGCAGTTTCATATTAATGTGATATATAAATTGTAAAATGGTCATTACTCTCTTATTATGGTTAATAGTCATATAAACATTGTTATTAAAATATCACATAAGTTGCTTTCTGATAAATTTAGACGCATTATGCGAAATAAAATGTTTTGCAAACGCTCCAATCACTTATCGACATGTAAACGCACTAAACCGATTTCGCAGCGTTGACACATTGTCACCTTGAAACTTATTTAAACTGGGAACTGACATTTGTATTAATTTTGACACTGAATCAATTTGTGGCATTTCAAATCTTTATAAATCCTTTGGCCCCGCATACTGTAAATCAACAACTGTTTGTTTCAAAACAAAATTATTCATTTTACGAGTAGATAAAGGCAATTTTGGTATATAAAGATGCCCAAACAGTTAAATAGTCGGTGTAAGGAACTCGTGGCCTCGTTAATGCACTACTTTGAGCAAGAAAGGGACAACAACGGGCCTTTGTTGCCTTTAAATGCTGTTCAAGAGGTAGGTTACTAATAATTATATTATGTAATGTATATTAATAATAGTGAAATTTTATTTCATTTTTTGTAGCGTGTTGCTGCTGCTTTAAAAATTAGTTTAAGGACAGTTAGTCGTATTTCCGAGGGTGTGAAACGTGATGCAAATTTAGAATCGCCCAAGAAAAAGCGGAGTTATATTAAACGTGTAACCAACACAGCGACATTGGATACAAGTGCCATTCGAGAAGTGATCTATATTATGTATCACAAAAGTAAGATCTTATTATAATAACTTATCAGAAATTTGCATTAATTTGTTAACTAAATTATAATGTCATATTACACATGGTTTCAGAAGAACAAGTTACGATACAAACTTTATGGTCTCGATTAAGAGATAGGGCATTATTTGATGGTAGTGCCACGTCTTTAACCCTTAATAGCTACTCTTCCAAAACAATCACTTTTGAACTACCCAAGGGTCAATATGACCCAGATAAAAAAAATTAAATTTAAAAGAAAAACAACATCAAAATAATTTTATTGACAAAAGTAAACAAACGTTTATATTGTAATATAACATGTAAGTGTTGAAAAGCAAATCAAAAACAATTTGGGCATATGTTTTTGGCACAATTACGACATACTGGATTTTTACAGCTGTCACAGAAGGTACTAGTTTTTTGGTCCTTTTTAGATGGGCAAGTAGCACACCGCTTTCTTTTGGAAGGAGGAATGCGTTCAGTAGACTGTGCTTCAACATCAAGAGAAATTCCCAGTATATTCGCCATCAAACTTCTGAGTTTACGGGGAATCTTATTATTGTACATACGAACCATAATATGGCGTTGACATAAACTACGAGCTAAATTAAACAAGAAATTCCTTCTTGTTATTTCTTCTCCATTTTTAGAAAATTGAAGTAATACTCTAGAATTGATTCCTGCAACATTTAGCATCATGTGGAATAATGCCATGGGCCAACGGCGAGTTTTCCTGGAAGTTGAATAATTGGAACATTTTTGATCGAGGGCATCTACTCCAGCTTTTGTGTCGTTGTAAAACAAAATGATTTCCGTTTTTTTTGTTTCATTATCAACAGATGAATCATTATGCATACTGGAAATCAAAATCACTGACTTGTTTTTCTTCGGTACATATGAAACGAGAGTTTTTCCAGAAGTAAAGCCGAACTCTGTTGAAAATTCTTGACGCAATCTAGACGGCAAAAATTCTTTAGGAATACACCTTTTATTTTTTTTCAGAGTGCCCACGTAGGTTACATTTACTTTACTTAACTCATCTACCAACTCTACAGAAGAATACCAATTGTCACCTGTGATATTTCTATTACTTCCAATTACCGATTCCACCAAGCGAAGAACAACTTGTGTTGGTTGAGATAATTTGCATTTACTTTTCTCCAGCGACTTTCCCGCATAAATTTCTGCATTTAGCAAATAATGAGTTTTTGAGTCTGCAAGAACTTGTACTTTAAGACCGTATTTAGCGGGCTTGCTTGGAATAAACATCTTAAAACTGCAGCGTCCGCGAAACGGTACCAACATCTCATCTACGGTCAAGTATTCCCCGGGTGAGTAGTTTCCTTTACAGTTTTGGATAAATTCTTCAAAAAGATTTCCTAAAGCGGCTAGTTTGGTATTTTTCATTCTTTCTTTTCGTGTTAGTTCGTCGTCAAATCGAAGGCAGCATAAGAGAAAGGAGAACCTAGCAAGTGACATCGTGCATCTAAATATGTCACGTCCCGTTCCATCAGTAGCCCAAAGGGACCTTAAATCTTCATGGCCTGACTTGTATAACCCAAGGAAGTATAGAAGACCAACAAATGCCTCAATTTCTGTTTTGTCAGTTTCACCAATAAATGAAGGCCGAAATTCCGACCTGCTATTGCTCTTCTTCTTGAACTTTCCATAATGACTTTGAACTGATCTGATTTTTGTATTAGTATGAGTTATAATTTGTCCAAATATTTCATCTGTCAGAAGCAACTTCCAGGCTTGTAAGGCAGATTGAGGTTTGTGTTGTGCTGCATTTCCTTTCAAACCGGGCAAAACTTTTATGATGTTTTTTGCAAGAGTCTTTCCTCTTACTGGAGCAGTAGTAGACCATTTTGTTCTATCTTTTCCATACAAAGCTTTTGGAACTTCCTTTCTGTTTAAATTCACATCTTCATTACTGGTACTAGCTGAATGTTCTTCGTCTTCATTTTGTTCGTCGGAAGGCTGCCATTCCTGCTCACTGTCCGTATCGTGGGTACTTAGTTCCTCTTCGTCTTCCTCTTCTTGATCGCTCTGGTCCCCAAACGTAAAAAGTTTTTCGCATGCATCACGTTTATCCTCCTTTTCAATAGTATTTTCATTGTATTCGTAAGTGGAAGATGACGATGATGCAGTATTATTCACGTCGAAATCCTCCCAGAACTCATCAGACTCAATAATTTGTTCCAGCTCTTTATCAGTAAGTCCTTTAGCCATTATAACCTGAAAACATCAAAAAAAAAAAATACTTCATAAAAAAAAACTAAAAATGGTGGTTAAAACTTACCTTTTCATACAAAAAATACTACCAATAGTTCATAAAATATTCAAGTAATTCGGAACAAAATAATAACGTTTATACTATCCACGGGTCATTTTGACCCAGTGGCTGCCATTACAGTCGAATGAACTACGTCACTAGATTAAAACTACGATGCACATTTACTTCAACAGCGGCTGAACGAATACTGAACCACCGCCAGCTGTTCACGTTTAATATAAAGATACGAAGTGGGGGGGAACCTCATATCGATGGGTCATTTTGACCCGTGGGTAGCTATTAAGGGTTAAGGCGGTTGCTTAGAGATCTTGGATTTAAGTGGCTTAAGGACAATCCGCGACGAGGGCTCATGGAACTACCAAGTATAGCTTTGAAAAGGGTGGAATTTCTAAGGCAATACAATCAAGCCAAGGTTGAGGCCTTATACCAGTTTGTCTTCCTCGATGAACTTGGATATTTCAAAATGGGACCATAGGTCGCTCTTGGCAAAATGGAAACCAAAAAAGCGTGAAAGCTATTAAAACAGATGGTAAAAGGTATGTACTTTTACACAATTTGCACTATCAAATTTAAAACTAATATATTTTAGATACATTATATTACATGCTGGAAATGAAAATGGGTTTATTGAGGGTAGTGAAGCGATATTTTCTTCGAAAACAAAATTGAGCGATTACCATGGAGAGATGAACCAGGACAATTTTTTGAAATGGTTTCAACATCAGTTATTAGAAAAATTGGAGAGTCCATCTATGATTATACTGGATAACGCCCCTTATCACAGCATGATATTGAACAAAGTGCCCAACAATGCATGGACAAAAAAAATATCCAAGACTGGTTGACAAATCAAAACATACCATTTTTAAACACAATGTTTAAAACAGAGCTATTGAGTATTGTTGCTCGGTACATAATGCTTCTTAATTATATATATTTTGGTCGACAGTTTATATTTCTTTTGTTTATTCCTATTCTTAAAATAACTGCTTTTTTAGAAACAAACCACCTAAAATATACGTGATTGATGAATTGGCGGAACAACATGGGCACAAAGTTCTTCGTCTGCCTCCTTACCATTGTATATTTAACCCTATTGAGTTAATTTGGGGCATAGCAAAAGGTTACTATAACAGACATATTGGTAGAGATAGTAACAGTGAAAAAGACTGTTTGGATATGTGGAACGAGGCTCTACAAACGGTTACCCCAGACATGTGGAAAAATAGTGTTCGACATACTGAGCAAGAAATTTTTAAATGGTATGAAAGAGAACGAATTTTTGATCGACCAGACATCGAACCTTTAATAATCAACTTTGAGAGTGATGAAGATTCAGATTCAGACAGCGCTGAAGAAAGAAACTCCGACTAACTTTATTGTACAGAAAAAGCTTACACCAGTAGCGTACCTAATTTTAGAATGCATTTTTCTGTATGAATTCTGTAAAATAAATACCATGCATAAAATTTGGAGGACCCCATTTGGATTTTTATTCAGTACCTTTAAGCTATCAATTAAATATGGTAGTTTCATAGTGTCATCTGATCAATAATTGTCATACTTAATAATTATGCAAGTACAGATCTATAATTTTATTATACTATTATTTTTGTTCTCATTTGAGGTTAATATTGCTTATAAACCTAGATATGTAAATAATAAATTTTATTATTTTACAAAAAGTTTGGCAACAATGTAAATTTTTCAACACACCCACCTTGATGACGTGCACGCCACTTTGTTTGGCGTTGACTATACTCGCGTTGCTTCTCAAGGCGGTCCGGAGGACTTGAGGCTTTACGTCATAGTCTCTGTAGTGCCAGTGTCTGTCGTCAGTCTGTCAGGTCTGGTGACTCCGAAACCTGACAAGTTGCACTGGAAAGGGTAGAGGGAGAAAGAAAGAAAGAAAGCAGGAGCGAGAAGAGAATGAAAAGAAATTGTACCTATAGGGTAAGTGTACCAGTGAATGAACGCGTTAGGCCTTTTTCAAAGTAACCACTAATTTTATAAATCCATATTATAAGGTAACATTTAAAAAAAATACTAAATACTCGCTGTTTCAGTTGAGAATATATATTTAAAATCACATTTTCACAAACTTACATATTATTCAGTAAAAAAATAAAATAATTAACCATTTCACTAAATCCTAGTTAATGAACACGTGTTGCCAGTAAATGAACAATGTGTATCTAGTAAATGAACATAAATTCTAATAAATGAACAATGGGTATCTAGTAAATGAACTAACTGAATCCTACACATTTTTGGTACTATATCTAGGTTGCGTTAACTTAAGATTAGAAATCTATAACTATAGATTGATTTAGATATGACCAGGTGCCTATTCTAAAGGTAAGTATTTCTCTATTTCATTGCATTCAAATATGCCCCTACGAATTAATCTTGGTTCAGTAATTTGTTCTAAAATAGACGCTTTATTGTACCAAATTTGATCAACTCGACCGGGCCATTTAAAATGATATTTTCCTTCAATATCAACCTTGCACATAGTCTGCACTTCGTATTCCTCGCCTTCTATATTCTTGACGATTCCTGGAAACGGCTTTTCATCATAAAGGACGATTACATAGGACCCAGTATCAGGTCCAGATGAGTTTGAATTTTCTTCTGCGCCGATATTATTTTCCTTCATATCGAGCGAATCATTTCCACCACTTTTGCGTTCTGTATGATTCTTAATGTTGTCTTTTATCTTAGGTTTAGGATTAATCTTCTTGGTTCTAGCCTTCAAATTGACCTTCAATTTTCGTTGTACTCTCAGTTCTTCTTTTTTCTGTTTCACTGCTTCTTTCTTATCCATAAATTCTTTAAACTTCTTAGAAGTAATTGCGTACGGCATACGAGTGTTATCGTTAGATTTACGTTTTGTAGACTTCACTGGTTCACTAGGCCAACGCAAATGTTGCGACCACACCTCTTTCTCATCTATAACCTTTTTCGGGAGCGTATTTTCTGAAATGTTGTCCGCTTCCACTGGCTTCATTGAAGTTTCCTTTTCTAATACTACGTTACAATATTTATCCTGCGAAATATTATCTTCCGCGTTGTTTTGTTCATTGTGTTGACTTTCAATCTTCTGTAGTTTTTCAGGTTTTGTCACGCTGTAGTTTTGTAAAATACTTTCAGATTCATTAATCAAATTAACATCTTCCATCGTAAGCTGGTCTCCCCCTCTATTCTTCACCAGGTCTTCGAGGGTAACAACACTGTGTACAATAATTTTTTTCGAAGGTTCTTCCGTAGCGCAGCTTACTGACTCGTCTAATTGTTGGTTTTCCGTAGCACTACTGTACACTATCCCGTCGAGTTCAATAGGCATACTATTAATATCGAATTCATTGAAATCAGAAAAATCATTTATTAGTGATTCAAATTGATCAGTTTCCTCTCTGGGTATTTGAACAGTTGCGTCTTTGCACAAACTCCAAATGTGAAATAGTTGGTTTGTAGATGAATCTCCGATATCTCTCAATCGACTAAACTGGTCTAATAAGGGTGGATCCATATGATGTTCGAGAACTTTAAGAGTACTTTTATAATCTGCAGAATTAACAGGATTTGCAATAGTTCGCACAACTTCAAACTCCCGAATTTCTTTCCGCCTGTTCGAAATACATTTCGAATAGTCTACTGCATTTGGGTCAAAAGGAAATAAACCGGTTACTCGAAATCCAGCCATTATTGTTTCAGGTTTGATGGCTTTATCAAAAGCATTTTTAAATAGAGGTGCAAAGTTGGTTTTTGTGATAGACTTTTGTGAATCCTGTTTTTGCCTCATAACAACATCTTTCCAGGCTACTTTCAAAGCTTTGAACACCGCGACGTCACAGGGTTGGAGTATGTGAGTAGCATTAGGCAGCAAACAAAATAATATAATATTGTTTTTTATGCAAAAGTTGAAAAGATCCATGCTTATGTGCGATTTGTGTCCATCTAACAGTAACAAAACGGGTAGTTTTATATGATTTTCTTCCAACCATGGATAGAAGATATTGGCTACGAATTCGTAAAATGTCGCACTCACCATCCACCCTGAATCCGACCGACCTATTCCCCAATTATCTGGCATAGATGTAACAATATCCCGAGGTATTCTTTTGTATGGATACACCACCATCGGAGGTACACAGACACCTGCCGCCGAGAAAGTGCAAAGGACGGTAATGCACTCTTTCTCTGGTCCACTTGCCAGCTCATAAAAGTTCTTATAATTTTTTGGACCTAACAATTTTCCCGATTTTGGACATGTCTGCAACCCTGTCTCGTCTGCGTTAAAAATTCTTTCAGGGCATGATAGAATATCCTCAGCATTTTCGCTGATTAGATAATCCTTTAGTTCACCGAACCATGTCCGAATGCCTTCTTCTGTAACTGACGCTCGACCTTTTGAAATTATTTCAGTGTTTCGCTGCGTAACATTGGGGTGCCTTTGAAGAAAAAGTTTCATCCATTTTTTTCCTGGCCTATCATCTGTGAAAACATTTGGTCGTTTCACAATTTTCAAAACTCGTTGAACTGAATCTTTAACTTCGTCTGGGTGCATTGGAAAACCTAACATTGCTTTGGATAAAATCCATTTTTCTAGATTGGCCTCCTCTTCCATTGTAAGAATGGTTGTGGGTCCCATTTTTCTCACTGCAGGCACTTTGCCTCTTAATTTATTCGATAAAGTACTTTTCGGAATTCCATATTTTTTACTTGCTTGGGAAATGTTCAATTTTGATTGTCTGATGAACTCTACTGCCTCTTGTAGCTGCGCCTCCGTGTATCGAAATCTCTTGTATGGTTTTTTTGGATTTTCCATATCTATAAAAAGACATCATCATACCAACCCATCTTTCCACGCAAGTAAGTATAATATTATGTAGGACAAAAGGGAATTTGTTAACGATCATTCACTGGGTATTGAAATTTACTTCGGGATCCAATAAATGAACGATTTATAAAAGAGCGTTCAATTACTGGATCGGGGCGTAAATTTAACGTTCCACTATTGTAGACTGAAAGAGCATATAAGGATCTTACGATATGAAGAACAAGGATGAATTTCATTTGCATGTTGAAATACCCAGTCAATGAACGATCTGTTCATTTACTGGTTTATCAATGGCACCAATGAATGAACGACTATATTTTCTATTTTGGCGGGAAGTTAGCGTTTTCTAGGTTATGTTTAGTATTAAAAAGGAGTATATAGGTGTCTTATTCAAGTATTTATTCACATTACTGCTGCTATGTGAGCAACATCCTTATTATTGAGAATAGCTACTTACCTAAGACGTTATAGCACTTGCTCCGATATACCACCAGACGAGAAATGTGAATTTTTCTGCCGCCGACACGTTCGTTCACTAGATCTCAGAAGTGTTATTTGTGAAACAAGTTAAGACAAACGTTCAAAATATGATGTCAATTCATCAAAAATAAGGCTAGAGGGGAGTCGAATCTTAAAAAATAGCTAAATTTGGGCTTTTGTTCAATTACTGGTACCGTTCATTTACAGGTGCATTTACCCTATATATAATATTTCAGGTGTGATAGATCTGAGGACTGTTGCAGTGTAGTATATAAATTTTGTTACTTGCCCTGAACAAAATTTAGCGTGTTCAGTTCTTGACACCTATAATTTCAAAGGTCTAAACATGAATTGGTAAAAAGGTAGGGGATGTCAAGATCTCTATGGATGGTATCATTTGATAGATACCATGGGGCACTAGTTATTGTTCTGAGAGTTCTATTCTGCAGAACTTGTAGTTTACGCATATGTTACTTAGCTAAAAGGCACCAAGCCGCACATGCGTAGGTTATTGTAGATCTAATGATGGTTTTGTATATCCGAATCTTATTGACCAAATTTAATTTTCACGTTCTACTTAAAAGAATATACAATTGCCGAAATGTAATTTGGAATTTAATTTTCAGTTGTTCAATGTGTGCCTGTCAAGCCATACCCTTGTCGAGTGTAAGACCTAAATATTTGGCTTTGTTAGCCCATGGTACCGGAACATCATACACAGTAATCTCTGACAGGACACCACGGGGCTTTTTTGTAAAATAGATAGCCTGTGTCTTTGAAAAATTAATTTTGATTAGCCGCCGATTCCGCCACTCTAAAACCTCGTTCACCGCTTCCTGTAGTCTGTCATGGATTATGTCACTAGCACATGACTGGGCTACTGATGCGGTGTCGCCGGCATAGAGGCAGACTTTACAGTCACTGCGATGGGGGACGTCGTGAATGAAAATCGAGTATAAGAGTAGTCCTAAGAGCGATCCGTGCGGAACTCCGGCCCGAGTGCGCCGTGTTGTAGAAAATTCATTGATAATTTTGATTCCGAATTTCCTTCCCTCTAGAAGTATTTGAGTAGTTTTAATAGCCAAAAACAGAAACCGTTTTGAATAAGTTTATAGAGGAGTCCTGCGTGCCACACCTTGTCAAAGGCTTTCGCGACATCGAGAAAAAGGATTTTCGTGCTCTTGTCATGGGTGAATCCACTTGTTATACGCTCCACCAGCCGGACTGCCTGTAGCACCGTAGTATGCTCGGACCGAAAACCGAATTGAATGTCCGCAATCACTTGTAGATCTGACAAAAGGTCTCAAGGTGACAATAAGTCACCTTTTCGGCGAGATTAGGAGGAGCGGACAGCAAGCTAATGGAGCGATAATTCTGCGGAAATATTGAACCTACCTTCTTTGGGACCATGATGATATGAGGAACCTTCCACGCATCTGGCAAGTATTGGAACCTGAGCATTGCGTTATTATTGTTACCAGGTATGTCACTGCCTTTGACGACAACAGCTTGAGCGACTTGTTGGTGATCTGATCCTCTCCAGGTGCCTTGCGCACCTTCAGAACATTAATGACCTTGAAGCTCTGCTGGTGTGCATTACGGAATCACTGATAATGACTCCGTGGATGTGCTATGCAGAGCTTCTGTTGAAGAATCTTTCGAAGAGGAATCTTCCAGAGAGGAACCTCCCTCTTCAGTTTCTGGATACCGCGAAGTCTATAACATGTTAAAGCGGTGGTGTTTCGTCTCATCAGTCCTATGAATGATGCATAAATTTGGCATCAGATAGTTATACAGTGTTGAGCCCTGAATGCCATGCACGGTGCTTGCAGTTGAAATCCCCTGCCACAGTCAGCCGACGAACGCACCTCACATACAGCGTTCTGATTTTCAATGGGATGCCTCCCATCATAGAGGCAACCACATAGGCAGCTGCAATGCTTTGCATTTCACCATCGCCTCTGTAGTAGCCAATACCATGCTTAATAATTACGGCTATGCCGCCACCTCTCTCATTCACCTGTCAGCGTGAATAACATTAAAATTTGCAAGGACGAAGCGATCTCCGGGTTTTAAAATGTTTCCTGCAGCAACACCACATCTATAAACTCGTCTAATAGGGCCTGGTGAAATTCTCGTTTTTTACCGACGTCTCTCAACCCACAACAGCGTCAGAACATAATTTTGAGAAAAGCAGGCTGTCTATTATACTCAGTCATCTATAGACTGCGGAAAGATCGCTTGCAATGCCTAAGTTGCGCTTATCAGAGGAGTAATAATTTGTTGGAGTAACTAATGCGCGGTCACCAGGTCTACTTGTTGAGAGCTCAAAACAGGAGCTGCAGTTGAAATGACAGGAGCTGAATGCCCGGCTGCCATTTTAGCTTAAGATTTATTGCGCGTCTCGGCTATAACCTGCTGGTTCCTCTTAGGAGAGAACCTGCACGTTGGACTGTTGGCAGGATGACCCTCCCCGCAGTTTGCGCATTTGCGCACCTCCTGTCGTGTTTGAAGATTCAAAAGTCTTAAGTGGTCCTGTGCATATTTTACACATTTGGGTGGCGCTGTACAGCAAGACTGGGCGCGCCCATACCTCTGGCAGCGGTGACACTGACCAACGAGTTTATTTTCTTTTGAGCCTCAACCTTAATTGAGACGCCTAACAGCTCATTTTAATTGAATAGCTCATGTGATTTTCCGACTTTAGGCAGTATCACCACTACCAACGGCATGGGAGCGCCTCCACTGCGTTTAAATCTGATCAGATGGAGAGGGAAATATCCTTTCTGCTCTTTGAAACGGCACGATCTATCTTAATCCCTAAACTAATAAATTGATAACTGACGTATCTCCACTTTTCTGGCTTCTTCAGCACGACCGCCTCGGTTGAAGCTGCTACGCCGATATGCTGGCAGAACCAGAAGGTACAGGTTGTAAGGGTCTGTATATGTGAAGTAGTTGTGTGTGATGCAGCTATGACTGGATGGGTATTTGATTGTGAAAGATGTGTTACTGTAGGAGCAGATTAAGCTGGTAAAGAAGGACAATCTTCTGTCGCACGTCTGATATTTTTTTTCTTTGTCTGGGTGGTGTAAACTTGTCGCACTATACGCTGTCTCAGAAAAAGCGTCGTTGGATCCTGATTTTTAGGTCTACGTTTAGGGCTGTCACTACGGGAATTTCTACTTAGCTGTGTATTCATTGCTGTAACCTTTGCCGTCAAGCAGTGAAAACTGAGATTGAGGCTTTTGATAAGGCCTGCCTGGTCTGCAATCTGCTGAGCCTGCTGCTCTATCTTGTGGGCCTGCTTTTCAATGATAGTCGTCAGCTGCTGGATGGTAGAATTGCCGCTGTCATCTGCCGTAGCTGTGTTTTCATCTTGTTTTCCAATGTTGGGTGCAATTCTGGTAGAGTCTGCATTGCTGGTGGAGGACCGGCCATTCTTCGACCTTTCCGGGTCCACTTCCTTATTTTCTCTTGCCTTTTATTCGCAAAAAATGAAAAAAAATCGCGGAGGAAAATTTTTGACGTTTTCAATCAGGGCGAATTTGAACAACTTAACCTTCAGATGGCGGAGTAAAACATAGGCGCGTTTCAGATCCAACAACAAACCATGAGAAAAAACCTGGATAAAGAACTCCATTAACTAATGGTTGCTCTACTATAAAAAAAGAATCACCGTTATCTTTAGCTCCTCGTGAATTTTTATGATTTACTCCTGAGCTTCCTACCATCATTATTTCTTAGACCATCTAGACTGTATAATGAAAAGTGGATAAACTCAAATAGTTATTCAACATCTATTAAGCACGAATCATATGTGATGATATGTTAGCGAAACTACTTGTACACTATAAAAAAAACAATACAAACACAATATTTTTCGACGACATGGCTTTCCACCGACGTTATCGGCAAACAATCGATCAACTGCATTCAGTCAGCGTGCAGTGCACTGTACATACGGCCTTCTACGATGTTCGTTTGATAAACGACCTCTGCAACCGCCATATCCCACTAGATACCTTCTTGTGATGGCTGCACTGACAGACACTGCATCGTCGACTGGTGCTTTTTCGGACGTGTTTATTCCGGAAATTGGCGAATCGCTCAATGTCAGCTCAACTCGGGTCTTTCGTCGGTTTTGCTACATGGCCTGGTATATCCACTGCATTTATCAGATAGCTCTTAACACTTTGGCTGCCCCCATAAGGGGTCATTTTCATTTATTAGAGGCCAAACCTAAATTATCACAAAAGCATGGTTACGAACACTTTATTGACATAAAAAACATATAAACAACTCAAAAAAAATGTTTTTTTCTGCAAAAAAATTAAAATCACCGGTGATACACATGGCATCTAGGTTAATCGGTATTTCTCCAGTGCCATCTGTATCACCGGTGATCACAGAAGAAACAGGAAATAAAACTAATGTTTTTCAGTGAAACAAGTAAAACATAGATGAATATTGCATTGCCCGCACTTGGTAGAGACCAATTTAGCTTGTTTCATTCCCACAACTCGACCTCCTTCTCTGGCCTTTTTCTCATAACATGAAATGCATCTCTTCCTTTTCTTTCTCCCGTCTGCTGTTCTTTCTTCTGTACTGATCAGACTATGTTTATCTTCATTTACTGGGACACTTGGGACTTGGGTAAGGCTCTCAATCAACATCTCTCTAAAAGCACCAACTTGTATGTTTTGTTTTTTGAAGTGCTTGTAAATATTAAGAGAATTGATGACAGCCGTATTCAGGAGAATTTCAAACATTAGCTTATGATACCATCTAATTGTTTTGCGGAGTGGGGAAAAGTAGCTCGCCATTTGATCAGAAACATCTATACCATCTTTACCAGCGTTGTATTCTAATATGGCAGAAGGTTTCTTTACCTCCTCGCCCTTTCTGTTTTTCTTCCCAGTAGCCTTTATATCCAGCGTGTGCTTAGTACTCAAGAACGGAACATCCCTTTTGTCTTTCCATTTACCTATAACGAGTCCTGTAGTGTTTTCCTTCCCCACAATTTCCCCTCTTTTTAGCTGTGCACTCATAACTTCTTTAGAGAGACCTTTTCGATTTTTTCTAAGTGTGCCTAGAAGATGAGTCTTGAATGCCAACAATGATTTCGCTAAAGGTAATGAAGTATAATAATTGTCTGTTATTAGTGTCCTTCCTTCTCCCAAGTAGTCATGAACAAGGTCCATTACAACTTTTTCTGCCAGTCCTTTTCCTTTACCTGTATCTTCGAATTTTTTGCCGGTGTAGACTGACAATCGGTAGGTATAGCCTTTTGGATCGCACAATTTGAATAGTTTTATACCATATCGATGACGTTTACTAGGTATATACTGCCGGAAAATTAGGCGTCCACGAAAGGGCACCATAGTCTCATCTACAGCTAATGTTTCCCCTGGAATTGCCTCGTTGGAACATTTGGTCTGAAATTTTTTGATAATATCTTCCACTTTATAAAGTCGGTTGTCTTTATCTACGGCATCATTATTCGCAAAATGAAGTACTCTTAGCAGAAGTTGGAAACGATTTCTGCTCATCACTGATGGAACAAACGTATTATTGTACAGCCTATTTTTTCGCCAATAGTCCGGAATTTTAGGATATTTGACTATGCCCATATACATGACTATGCCTAAAAACTTTTTAATTTCTTTTTTATTTGTAGGGACCCATCGTCTTATTCTAGCTGAACGCCTTATATTTGGCTTTTGTAAAAGCTGTGTGCCGTTTCTATTTGTTTCTGAAACGATAATTTCAAGAATCTCGTCATCAATAAAACGTTCATAAACATCAGTTGGACGTAGATCATTAGAATCATCTGAAAAAATATTTTATATTTTTACCAAACAAAAATAGACAAAAAAATATATTAATACCAGGGTAAATGCCGTGATGATACATGTATTGCTCTGCACCAGAAAAAATAATGTCAGAACGCAAGGATGTCCCGTCAACATCATGCCAATCCTCATTATCTTGTAGTAGAGTATTTACATTGTGGCTCTCTTCAGTGTCTACTTCATCTAAATCGCAATCTAAACTATGACTGCTTGGAAGACTACTGCCTGCGCTATTGCTACCATCATCAGATTCCGAATTCAGATACTCTATAAATAAATAAATGAAAAAGGTGTTAATTTATACGCCTGTAAAAGAGAACCATCCCCAGATAAAATTTCAACAACAAACATGTATTTTTACTACATACCTGATCCTGAAGATGAAAAATCTTCCCAGTCGTCCCAATTATCTGCGATTTCCTGCAGTTCCTTTTGTGTTAAAATTTGCTTTTTATTTTGGCTATTGCCAGTACAAGATCGTTTGGGTCGTCCAGAACTTGTAGAAGGTTCATCACTCATATTTATAACACCACTTTATAACACACACACACGATTTACTAAAATTTATATTTCTAAAACACCCCTCTTAGTTTGCAGGTTCTCACAACATTAAACATAACCCATAAACCGCAAAATCTGTACAAGAACCAACCTGAATATAGTAAAAGTGCAGTCGTAAATTTACGCTACAAAGGTAGGCGACCAGTGATGTTATGTATCTCAATGAGTTGTTTATATTATCAGTATGCCACAGTATAAGTAGTTAAACTTAATTCACAGGCCAAGCGGATATATATCTAATTTTGAAGTATACTGCATGTGAAACACATGTGAGTCACGTGGCCTCCAAGCAAAACGCGCCTGTGTATCACCGGTGTTTCACATGGCAGCCAATGTGTTAAATGTTTAATCTGTTATACTTTTTGAAGAAATTCTGTTTCATGATTTTGCTTTGCTCAGACCTCCGTGTCTTACTTATACTATATTTTTATATAATCTCAAGTGCAACATCAAATGACATTTCCAATATGCGTTTAAGATCTACAGAACTAATTCTATTATAACTATTATTTGTTTTTGGTTGGTCTTTCACCGTTACATACGGGGTATGTTCACAATAGAGGTACTTGCGAACTATGTGACATGGATACAATATTGTGGCTTTCTGCATAAATGCAATAAAATGCGCTGGTACTTTCATTCTCTCTAAGTGTGAGTCGAGATTTACAGAGACAGCTCCTTCCACAGTACTACTACTGGTTTTATGCAGACCTCTGATGGTTTCCAAATATTTTGAATTTCAATGGCAAGGTTTTGATAATTTTCAGCTTTATTATTATTCATATAATTATTGTTATTATTATTACTTACTCAGGTGTTTTGCACAGACATAAATCTGGTAATTATTATATGTGAACGGGTCAAACCAAGTTCATCTAATCAATTCTATTGTAGAAGTTTTCTTACTATGGTTGTGGTGCTAAGTACACCTATAACCGCTTTTTGTATCTGAGAGTGTACCACAGGCTTAATCCCAATCGTTCTAAATTTTTTGTACATGACTGTGGAGTGATACTTGTAACTGATGTTAACAGGGGTATTATTTCTACCTTATCTTGTTTCCATATTCTTTTAATTCCTTGTGTAAGAAGAATATACTTTTTGACTTTATCATTATACTTTGCTTTTGTGTTATGATCATATGGCACTGCTATATCAATAAGGTGAGTTGTCTGATTTATTTTATCGATTAGAGTAATGTCAAGCCGATTAGCAACAATTGTTTTGTCGGTAAGAGTAGGATGGTCCCAGTATATTTTGTGAGTTGCGTTTTCCAGTACACCATCCGGTAGGTATTTATAATACGGTTCTTTATATGAGGATAGTCTAAGTGCCTTGTGTATTATTTTTCCTACGTTGTTGTGTCTATCGGTCTATGGTCTCTGGAAACATGTTACATTTACGGCATATTTCAGGATGTACTTCTTATAATTTCGTGTATTTATTACTTGTCTCGGATAGCAATCGCAAACCCTTCTGTCTCAGGAAATATAAGCCCTTTCTTCAGCCAATCATATGTTGTTGCCGTGTGTAAGTTATGGCATCCTGATGCCATTACCTTAAAGCATTAACACCATCTAAATCCCTACTAGTATAACACCGTCCCATAATCGAGAGACAGGATGTGAAGATGATTGCATTTTTACCCGACACTACTGATTTCTGGAAAATTCGTAACTCTAATCCTAGAATATAAAAAGGGTCTTTGACTATTCTCTGTACTCATTTCGATATTTGTTCTTCTGTTCTCAACTGTTGCTGATGCCTCAATAAATGCAAATCTACAAAAGTTACTGAAGTATTTCTCTAACATCCATTGGCGATTATAAGAGAAATAGGAACGCGAGTGATAATTCCTTAGTGCAATCAATCAGCCACGATCCACACGTATTTAATTGGCGCTGCGAACAGGATGCCCAGCCTTCATCAAGTAGTGTGACTTGGTCAGAAATTCACTCAGAAGCCAGCTGAACTTAGAAGGTAAAAGTTTTCAAACTTTTGCCATTGGTTATCGCTACTGAAACCTGTGAACGAGTTCCGAGGCCGGTAATACCTCTCAAGTTCCTGTTCCAAGTTAATCCTAGTGACCGGTACGGCCACACCAGTTCCAGTACCTTTTTGGAGAAAACTTTTGTATCCAGAACAACCAGAAAACAGAACGAATGGGTCCCTTGGCGACATCGATGATGATCACGTCATTGTAAGTAGATTTAAAAAGTTTATTAAGAAGTAAGAAGATTTTTATTGAAGAAATTGAAGAAAAATATATAAGGAGATCTTGTTATTGATTGATGTTGTACAAATAACAAGACGACTTATTTGATTTTTGCTACATTTTTGCTTGTTAGTATTTAAGATTGTATTTTTATGCCTCCTGTTAGACGATTTACTAGAGAGAGTTCGTACTCCCCTTACACTTATTAACGTTCAAGTTCTAGTTCTACTGATTCTTCTCTTGACCAAAATATTTCAAATACTGAAACCACAATGGCACAACCAAATGGTAATGAACGTTACAGAATGCTTGAACTACGATTCAGAAGTCTTAAAGACTCTCTGCCAAAATTGTCTTCTAACCAAAATAATTTGTCTACCTTTATCCGAGAAAGTGAGTTGTTCATTTCAAAATTCCAAAACACAGAATTCGAAGAGCCTGCTGTCGAATTGGTCATGTTAAATATTCGAGATCAAGCTCTCGGAAAGGTCAGAAATCACGGCGCCACTTCATGGGTTGAAGCTCGTGATGTTCTTATTCGAAATTATAAAAATGCTAAAAATGAAACAGTCCTGTCAAATGAAATGACTATGTTAAATCTGAGTAACACCGAAACTTATGAACGAGTTCTAGATAAATTAAGAGAAATTAATAAATGCATAAGCCTTGCTCATTCAGAACAAGGAATTAGGTCCATCCTTATTGAACGTAACGAAAATTTAGCTCTTTCCTCATTCATATTAGGTGTCAAAAATCCCTATTCAGATCATCACAGATCCATCTTGACAAGATGCTTTGCAAATTTGTGAAGAAGAAGACAATGCAATGACTATAATTCGTGCCAAAGATTCTCCCACATTTTCTAGTAACACTAATTCCCATATCCCAAAACCCAGCACATCCTTTCAGAGACCTAATGTCTCTCATGCTAATCGCTTTAATCCAAGACCTCCCCTTCAACAAAACATTTATAAAAAGGAACAATTATTACCATCTGATTACACTCATTTATTTGAAATCTATCACCTCTCTCAAATGTCTATTATTTGTTTACAAGATGAAATTATATTTGTAATTAAGTTTCCCATTTTAGATATTAAGGAATTTACATTGTATAAATTATTTGCGATTTCTATTCATCATGAACTTATTACCCTGCCTAGTGAGTATTTATTAACTTACGAAAAGTATTATTATTGTTCTGACATTATTAAACTAAGTAATCAACTGTATGTTTGTAAAAGTACTTTCCAGTCTCCATGTCAACCACAGAGGTTCGACATGTGTGAGTCTGAAAGCGTAACAAACTACACGAGAATATTAGAATTACATAAAAATAGTTATGTAATTGATACTAATCAACTAACAAAGATAAGAGACTGTAAAGATACTTCTTTTATACATTATGCGACACATATTATTTTAGAATTTAATACTTTAATCAATCATAAAACTTTAGAATTTGATTCCACATTTCAGATTAAGTTAGACCTAGCTTATGCAGCAAAAGGCATGCAATATCAGTTTCAGAAAACAAATGTTTCACTGGAATCTTATTTACATCAAAACCTTACCTCTTTGTAAGTCAGCTTTCAGAATTTACATTATAGATCTACTGTAAAGTATCCTATCATTTTAGTTTGTATTCTTATATTTTTAATCATTTTTATTATTGTATTTGTAGAATATCCATATGTAAAGGACACCAAAGTTCCACCCACAACTCCAATTTCTAAACCCGCTGAGGAAATACCTTTAGCTTAATTTTGTCTGATTCGAGACGAATCTTTTGCACCGTGGGGAGGAGTTATGGTATCCTGATGCCATTACCTTAAAGAATTAACACCATCCGTCTCCCAACGAGTATAACACCGTCCCATACTCGAGAGATAGGATGTGAAGATGCTTGCATTTTTACCCGACACTACTGATTTCTAGAATATAAAAAGGGTCTTTGACTATTCTCTGTACTCATTTCGTTACTTGATCTTCTGTTCTCAACTGTTGCTGATGCCTCAATAAAAGCTACTCTACAAAAGTTACTGAAGTATTTCTCTAACATCCTTTGGCGATTATAAGAGAAATAGGAACACGGGTGATAATTCCTTAGTGCAATCAATCACCCACGATCCACACGTATTTAATTTGTATGCTCTCATACTGCATTATATTTACGTGTATTTCATGTAGAGCCTTACCTGACCATCGTTGTAAAAGGTCATTTTGATGTTCGTTGTAAGAGCAGGTTATGTTTGAGTGTAGGTTGAGTGGCGTAGCATTTTTGTCAGCTCCAATGACTGCTGCATGGAGGGTGCTCCCTTGTTTGGAATATAAGTATTTGGTGACTGTATCTATTTGTCTATAATGTAGTTGCTTAATGTAATGATTCCTCTACCACCGTTATCTCTTGGAAGATACAGCCTTTCTGTGCATGGTTTCAGGTATAGTATCCGATACTTCATCATAGCTGTTCTGGTGACTCTATTGAGTTCATCAAAGTTTGTGTTCGTCCATTGTATTACACCAAATGAATAAGTTAGGATTTTTATTGAAAATGTATTTGATGCCTTAAACATGTTTCTGCTATTGGGTTTGCTTGATAGAACTTTCTTGAGACTTATCTTATATTGATGTTTCAGCTGTTGTTTAGATCATGATTTATTTTCCTGTTTTGACGTACCCCAAGGTACTTATATGTTTCATCTGGTATCATGTAATCTACATTCTCACTATTTAGTGTTGT